ACAGTTTTCTAATCCACTCATCTGCTGATGGGCACTTAGGCTGTTTCCAAATTTTAGCTATGGTAAATTGTGTTGCTATGAACATAGGGGTGCATATATCCTTTCTGATTGGTGTTTCTAGTTTCTTGGGATATATTCCTAGACACTGGGTCAAATTTGCCCTTCTTCTTCACCCAAGAGCAGTTTTAAAATATGTATATTTAAGAAGTAGTAAATTGGGAAAATCATAACCAAGTAAAAGGTGAGCACTCATATCAACCACAATGATAAATTCAATTCCATCGATTGATCATCACATTTGGCTCTTACAAAATGTTGTGTTTTCTGGATGCTGAAATAATAAGTTAATTTTCTCTCCTTCCCTCACTTTTGCTCTTCAAACTAAGAGCAGGGACACTCTAGTTATCGAGAAAGACAGTAATACTCCCAGAAGGTATGAAGTAAGTATCGTTACTCATACTTTATCATCTGCAACAATGTACTCTTTGATAAAGCATTGCAGGTAAAGAGAGTCACCCAAATAGGTAAAGGAAACAATTGCAAAGCTCTCTTCCAGGTAAACTGATCATTGTGATCTTTGAATCCCAAACTAAAACCCATCTGACTACTTTCCTATTATGACCTTTGTTAAGAGAGTGATTGTATAATCATTTTAACACCTGAACTTTAATGGGAGAATGAGAGCAGAGCATTTGGGATTATATTTTGAAGAGTAATATAATTAAAGGTTGTTGATTGAGGAAAGATTTTATTGGGAATCCAGGTGAAAAGGTGGCAAAGATAAATAAATTGTGAAAATAAAAGAGATAAAGTGCTCTTGCTTACCAAGATGTGGTAAGTGAAAGACCACACTCAAGTAGTCAGCAACAAAGTTGAAAACTGGTTCTTTTTTTAAACTTGGAATTAGGAGATTTTCAAACATATGTAAAAGTAGAGAGAAGAGTATAATGAACCCCAGTTTCAATAGCGATCAACATATAAACAATCTTCTTCCCTATCTTCCATATCCAACATATCATATCATTTCATTGTAATTATATATAGAATCAAAGTATAAATTGAATGATAATAAATCCATTCCTAAATTTTATTTCCCATTTATGACCTTATTTCATGAAGGTTCACAAGATTTAAAAAATATATGCAGGTAGGTTGATTTTGTAGGTTAATTTTACATGTTAAATTTCTTCAGGAAAAGGGTTTGATTAGAGCCTACCCTTTGCAACTATCTCTCAGGACTCAGTGCAATTGGATAGCTGAAACAGTGCTCGATAAATGCTACCCACTGCAAGGTACATGCTGTTCTTATTACCATAAACACAACTGGCAGAAAGACATGTATAACATAGTAAGGAGAAATGTAATGGAACTAGTACTTCATTGGTATAGAGTCTAATTAGCACAAACTTCAACTACTAACATCATTACTTCTATTCCATTTCCTTGTTTAATAAAGCCAAGCCAAGCATGAGCCCCAAACTTGTGAAATCACGTGTTTTCTTTCTTTTCATCTTTTTGGCCACTTTGAAATGTTTTCTCTGATATGTTTAGCTTTCAATGAGAGTGCTTGGAAATTCACTCAAGTCTGGCTTTGTAAGTGTTAGCTTCATAAGTGGTTCTTGGGGTTTCCTGCTGTTTTTAACCTGATATATCTGGAAACTTCCCCTCCTTACCCAAGAATGTGTTTCTCTCTTGCCCACTCACAGTAAGATACAAGGAAAAAAATAGCTTTGCTGAAAACAAAATTATTTTAGACAGAGGAAAGAATTCCCCAGAACTGTACATATTGAATATCAAACCAGATGTTTACCTGTTCACTGCCAAAGAAGGTGGAGGTCTGTCAAACAACGACGGAAATACCTTTGACCCTCATTCAGTGGGAAACAGTCTGGGAAAATTTTGGGTTCCAGTAAGTGCTGAGGTTCTAAAACCATATTTAAATGTAGAAAATAGTTTTGTTCTGCTGAATCAGTACCCTAACCAGATTCTGTCAGGCCACACAAGAGTCTTTGTAGCTACCTTGGGAGCTTCTGCTGCCTGGTTCTCTCATCTATCCTGGTAAAGGGCTTGTGTGATTTCGGTGAGTCACCTGACATTTCTAGGCCTCCGTGTCTTCACCTCTGAAATCCTTTCTAACTCTGAATTTCTATGATTCTTCCGTGGTTTCTTCCATGGAGACTCACATGATATACATCAGGAGGTTTCAGCTCACCCAGGGGCATTAATGTCCATCGACTCTTGAAACTCTAGGCCTCAAACTGTAGCTAGCCTTTTATACAAGATAATGGCTTCTGATCACACCTTGGGGATAAAACCCAGTCACATCAAATACAAGTTAACAGGCTTGAAGTTCCATCAAGAAATGCATTCTCTCTTTCCAAGGGTTTGTAAATTAAAGTTAGCTGTAAGATAAAGTAGAGAGAAGCATTTCCTTTCCCAACAGGTTCCAACCATGCCTGGGCAGCCACAGAAACCCACTGGGTCAAGCAAAAAGGGGGGATAAGATTCTAGGATATTTTTATTTTATTTTTATTTTTTTAGGATTATTATTATTTTTATTATACACTACATTTTTTAAAAAATTTTGTTTTATAGCTTAAAGTATTATAAAGAGTATTAATTACATATGTCTCCTTTTTTTCCCCCTTGACTTTCCCCCAGCCTCCCGTACACCACAATGTCTTGTGTCCATTGGTTATGCTTATATGCATG